TTATAAGATGTGCGGATAGTAAAAATCATTTGATTTAAAAAAAAAAGTTATAACGTAAAGTACCTATTACGCTAAAAAWTTTTTTATGCGCAAAAAAACAAAAAAAATTGACCTCATTTTAAATTCATTTACTTTTGAAATAATGAATGTTAAAGTAAACGTAATTCAATGATAATATATTTAAGTCATAACATGTTATTGAAACACGAAATGTTTAATATTTTCAACATGACTCATAATCAACTGAAATTTTTTTAATAATATGAATATACCTTACATAAATTTTAATATTTTTGGTCGTATTACTCATACCGGTGATGTGTAGTTAATTGTATAATTTCATAATTATATGTTATTAATTTATTATTATATTATATTGTACAACTGTGTATAAATTATAATAATATTATAATATGTTAATACGAGTTATGAGATTATTATGGTATATATAGGTATACTATGTTTTATAAGATATTTATATATATATATAATATTACATTATTGTTATTTTTTTTTTTATTAATCCTAATCTTCGACAGCACTCAGCAGGACCATTGGCTTTTCTTATGCTAAATTACTTGATTATAATATTACATCAGAGAATAATAATACTAGTCTATATCTGAAAAAAAAAACATAAGTTCATGACTATTCGTAATGAATATATTTCTCTAGTTTAATTCTCCTTGAAATGACATGATGTTTCCGCAGGTAGGTAATCACAGTGTCGTATATATTACGAGTATTATCGGTATAATTGATTCAAAATTATGTATTTTTGTAGCAAATTCGCAGTACGTGGAATCAAGTGGTCCGAAACCCAAAAGCTCCATGTAAATCATAATAATTATTCAACATATTTTCATTTTCTTCACTACCCATATAAGACTAAAATGAGAGGTAAATGTTGTAATTTTTCATATTATGTTCCTAACCAGTAAAAAATTTCAAACGTTTTATAGCAATTAATCACGTATTCTACGATACCGTTTTATGTGTATTTTAAATACGATGGATATTAAACCTTATTAAGACTTAAAATATCTAGTAAACATAAGACATTAGTATACATATTATATAGCTAATATGTATACCTACCTTTATATTCATAGTTTATAATAATCTTCAAACAGTAATGAAAAGTTGTAATACAGGCATATAAAATGTGGGCCTATTATTATAAATATATGACATTTATATATCCTATGTAT